AGTAATTGAGACCTTTTTTGTTTTTTCTTTTTTCTTTTTTCCTGGAGACCTGATGCCCACATTTTTGGAAGTTTCTGATCATCGTTTGAGATGGGAGGGTATGGATTTGAAAATTAGATAGAGTAACTAAAGACTGGATGAGTGGATGAGATACGAGGGTGGGTAGGTAGGGTGTTTCTCTGGATTGGAGGGATGTGCGGATATTCTCCTTCATCAGGGTTTGGTAGGTAGCGGGTGGTCCCCACCATTGATCGAGCGGTTGCCAGGAAAAAGGTTGGTGACCGTTAGTCCACCATCTAGGTCTGATGGGCGGTCAATGCTGTCCGTCGTCTATACGATTAACACACACACACACACAAAAAAAAAAAAAAAAAAAAAGATGTTCACAATCTCCCTCCCTTCTCATATTAGGCTCCTTAATATGCCTATCTGAAGCAGCTTGGAGTTTTTCAGCATTGAGTTTTCCTCAGCGCCCGAATCTGGACGCGTTTGTGGAAATGTGTAGAAAAATAGCATTCAATTTGAGTTTCCACCCACAAACACGTCCAGATTCGGGGTTTGAGGAAAACTCAACGCTGCCAGTGGGACTTGGCCTCCAGGGCATGGAAAAACCCTGAGGGAGGCCCCCTCCATAACCAGGAGTCGAGGACCATGAAGCCCAAACAAGTTGCCTTTGGCTTTCAATTGGCAGAACTGTCTGGATTGAGGGCATACTCACACTAGCTAAGGTCATTTCTACTGTTTTCGGGAAGTATTTGCTCTCAGATACGTCCTGGTTCAGCCTTGAATGTGGTCAGCTACTTTTAAGATAGTGCTACCTTCTTCCCTCGAATACAAAGCACGGTCGTTGTAGCTGTATGTGGGGCATCTTTCAGTCTAAATACATCTATAATGACTGATGTGCCTTGTATTCGGGGGAAGAAGGTAGTGTGAGCAAGTAATAAGCCCTGATTCTAATCACAGATTGGCCATTTTGGTTCAGCGCACGTGCTGCAGTTCCTACGACAGATTGGGTGCTTGCAGCCCGTCAGGGGTGCGTTTCCCGCCCCCCCCCTCCGAGACATTTTTGTCGTCCTTCGTTATACCAGCCGTTGATTCGGGCTCGTTTGGTCGTTGGAAGGTTCCAAAAATGCAGGCAGGTGCAGGCACAACACTTTGGGGGGTGGTGGCAGTTTCTTTGAAAAATGCGAGACCGGTAGCTGCCCATGGGACCGCGTGCTGGGTTTTGGTCGAAACGGTGGCAAAGCAGCGGCAGGGTGGATCTTTGGGGGTGGTGGCGGTTTCCTTGAAAAATGCAGGACCGGTAGACGGCGGTAGTAGCTGCCCGTGGGACTGCGCGCTGGGTTTTGGTCGAAATGGTGGCAAAGCAGCGGCAGCCAGGGTGGAAAAGTGGAAAAGTCTGAATCGGAAAGGGTGCGGCCTTGGCCGCAGGTTGAGAAGACACACCTGCATTGCGTTTGACAAGTGCAAACAGACGTGTCTGAACGTGGGAGTATTCAACGCCCCACACGTTCAGCGCCCGATTTAGTGAGTCACATGTGACAAAACCACTTTTTATTTAATAAAGAAAAATTTAAACTTACAACAACAAATACTCAAGCACACACATATACGACATATGGACCAAGATTCAATTTGAAGGACCACCACTGTCCACCAGCCTTGACACCAACTATGAATCAAGGTATTTCAAATATCTAATACATTAATACCGTACAAATTACCTAAATCCCACACATTCCAACACTACAGATGTGAATCAGATAATCACAAACACCCTAAGTATCACACAAACAGACACTCGCTAATCTTGACACATACGCACAAATGCTCCAGGACCTTTTTTTTCATGCAA